AGTGTGCATGCAAAAGTATATTACAAGGGGGTATGGCGCAATTTTTAAAATACAGGGGGAAAACGCGCAGATTTAGTATATTACAGGGGGGTTTGGTGCAATTTACCCTATTTTATTGTACAGTTTTTGTGAGTATTATAAAACTTTTATTGAATATTGCATCTCATAATATAATCTATATATATATATATATAAAAAGAATTACCATTTACTAAAAATAGTAGCAAAAATCTAGGAAACATTTAATGCATACTATTTTTGGAATTTTTTTAAATATATGCATTAATTGTTTCTGTTTACACGTTTTCAAATAAGATCAAATAACATATGATCAAATAATTAGTCAATAGATTTATGAATATCTGCAGTATTTTCATTGATATTTATTATAATTACAAGATTGATTTTTGTGATTCATGTTGATAATATTTTTGTCAACATAAATATTATTTTATTAATATTTGTAATACTTTCATTGATATTCATTATAATAAATTACAAGATTGATTTATGTGATCCATGTTGATGATATTTTGGTCAAGATAATATTACACCATATTTTAAGTTCTAACCATAATTTAAGTTTTTTTTCACAAATATTTACTTTTTATCTAAAAATATTTATGGAAAATCGTAACAGGTTAGGTAGAATGTTTTTTCGATAAAATCAAGTTGGTGAGTTAATCTTTGTCAATTTATTTGTTTCTTAATCTTTATTTGGTTAAATACAAAAAATAAGTCGTTCTTCAAATTAATATAATTTACCATTTAATAGATAATGACCAGATACAATAAATAGTTTTACTAATAGTAAATAATTAAAATTAAAACATATTAACTATTGTGTAGAATTTATTCGTATATTATTGGCACCCATGATTATATTTTTTTTATTTTTTTTATTTTGATTTATTTCTATAATTCAATTCTTGTAAAATATATTTTATTGCTGCGTATGTTAAATAAACCATAAATCCTTATAATGCGAATTAGAAAAATCTTGATCATAGAGGGGATCGAGTTTTTGGCATTTTCTAAATTAAAATTTGTTTAATTAGTATACATAATTAAATTCTAAAAAAACATGTGTATATATTATAAAATATTTATACACTATTTAATATTAAATTTATTTACATATTTTAAATTGATTACATAAATAAATAATACCAACGTGCATTAAATATTTTTATTACATAAAATAAAAATAAAAAGAAGACGTACAACTTCTATAACTTTATAAATAATAATGTCATTATATGACATAATGTGTATGATAAAATAATAATTAAGTATTATATGGTGAACAAGAATAAGTAAAATTGCTATTCTCTGATAAATGTGTTAGTGACATAATATATTAATTATTTTAATATTTTGAGTAAAAAAATAACGTTGATTAAAAGGGGTGCAAAATATATTATAACCTATTGTTTATTATACTTAACCCTGATTAAAGGAGATGAAAAATAGATGATAATCTTATTGCTTTATATACTTAAACAGACAAAGTATGTGAAAATGACTCATTTAATATTTTTGTCCCGTGCATCGCACGGGGTACGTACTAGTATTCTCCAAATAAATATATCTCCTGCCTCGCACAGGTCACGTACTACATATATCCCGTACATTTTTCTTTATTCACGTATATAATTATAAGGTTAGATAAATAGTTTTAAAATTGTGCACGGATTCTGTACTAGTAGTTTCTTAACAGAAATGTAACATTCCCAATAGTTGTATATATTTTGGTAGTAGAGAGGAAAGAGAGTTTTTGTGCGAATTGCAGGGGAAAAGAAAAAAAAAAGTTAAGCACAAAACAATAAGTTGGATTAGTGATTAGGAATTTAATTCCAGAAAGCTAATGATTTTCCTATTTTGTTAGGCTCGTATTTTATATTATTATTATTATTATTATTATTATTATTATTATTATTATTCGTTTTTTTGGATTAGTGGTCATCTCCAAGGAATGCACCGTGTTGGGGATCCACACCATAAGGTATGAATACGTGGTAGAGATTCACGTGCTCAAGCTCGGAAAGAAAGGGTAGTCGGGCATCGAGCAAAAACAGCATCAAATTTCTTGTTGTCACGTGGGGCCCGGATTCTCCACCGAGGGTTCGTCTACTTCTTGGATATGAAGGGAAATGTCGCGAGGTTCGACATGTCCGAACGGCGTCTTGACGTGAGTTACAAATGCTTTCTATGTAGATGTGTCTGAAAGTGTTATATAAAAGAGCACTGCTTGTTCAAGGTGAAAGGGCTCGACGAGTTTTTCGGGGTGTTTGCCTCTGGAGACGAGCGGAAAGTGAGAAGTTCTAGGCTCTTGGAGGAGTCGGTGAGGTACGATTTGGTGAAGGATTTCGGGGACAAAGTGTTGTACCTTAGCGCCTTTTTGTCATTTGGGGACATAACTCGTACGGGAGCCACAGCCAACACGATCTGGTTGCCCATATTTTACGACGGTAATGCCATTTTCTACTCCTTGAGGGGCGGGAAGTTCATTCGGACGACGGAAGATACTCGTGCGAAGATGCACTTTGCCTTACGAGATTGACTTTTGCCACGTGGGTGATGCCTGCACCTATCATCCCAACAAATGATCTTATTATGACGATGACGTGAATTTGGATTTTTATCCATTTTTTGTTGTTTTGGTTTTCTAATAATCCTTAGAAAATATATTATTGTTTTTGTTTTAGTTTTCTAATAATTCTTAGTAAATCTATTATTATATATTATTTAAAATAAGGTAAAATTGCATATAAATGCATCACCTTTCATGTTTTTACAATTTAATCACCACATTTGCAATTTAGCAATTTAATACACCACTTTAGTTATTTTTTGCAATTAGAATCACAGGGCCCAATTTCGGGCCTATTCTGCTGACGTGGCGGCCCGTTCTGCTGATATGGCATTTTTTTGCTGACATGACATTCCACGTGTCAATTACATGGCATTTTTGCGCTGACATGGCGACCAATGTGTCAATTAAAAAAAATTATGTTGCACGCTCTATATGGGATTCGATCCTGGGTTATAAGGGTTGAAGGGCAGCCTTTGCTACCATCACACCAAACAAACTTAGTTGTTAAATGTAATAAACTTTTATATATATACACATTACGTATGAAGAAATCAAATTAAATCTAAAAGATAATTTAATTACATTAAATCTAAAAAATAATTATATTAAATAAAATTATATAAAATTGAATTAAAAATAATATATTAAGATAATTAAAATATAATTTGTTGAATTCATATTTTGTGTTAGAGTGAATCGTATTAATAATATTATATTCATTTAATATTTTTATTTATTTGTTTAAAATAAATTTATAATAAATATAATAACTTATTATTATATAATAAATTATTATTTAATTTGAGCTTTTTAATATTTTATTATTTTATATACAAATAACACTTTTTGTTTTATTATTCATTTACGATTATTTAACATTTTATTTACTTAAATTATATTTTATAATTTATTATATTTATTTAAGATTTTTATTTATTTTTATTTATTATTTCATAATAAGTTATATTTATTAAAATATAATAAAAATAATATAACATAAGATGATAAAGTATAAAAAAAGGTGAATTCAAATAAATAAAATAAAATAATAAACAAAATAACTTATTATGAAATAATAAATAATAAAAATCTTATTTATTAAATATTATTAATATGATTTACTCTAACACAAAATATGAATTAATAAAATTCTATATTTTAATTATCTTCATTTATTTTATTTTCATTTAATTTAATTTATTATAATTTTATATTTAATTAATGTAATATAATATAATTAATTATTCTAAATTTAATATGATTTATTCATACGTAATTCCTATATAAATAAATTGTTATTCATTATGTTATCTAACATAGATGAGTGAGTTGGTAGCATAGCTATCTTTTTTCTATGGAGGCCAGGGTTCAAATCCTCCTATGTAAGACATACATATTTTTTTTTTCAATTGAAATAGACTGCCACGTCATTGACACGTGGAAACACCACGTCACCACAAAGATGCCACGTCACTTGTTTTGGCCCGAAATTGGGCCCGAATCCTCCTACTGTAAGGCATACAATTTTTTTTTCAATTGAAGTAGACTGCCACGTCATTGACACGTGGAAACACCACGTCACCACAAAAATGCCACGTCACCTGTTTTGGCCCGAAAATGGGCCCTGTGATTCGAATTACAAGAAATAACTAAAGTGGTGTATTAAATTGCTAAATTGCAAAGGTGGTGATTAAATTGCAAAAACATGAAAGGTGGTGCTTTTATATGCAATTTGACCTTAAAATAATAACATCACCCATAAGATTCATTCGTAAAGGTGTATTTAATTATTTTCTTCTATATTCAATATTGATATTCGTCAAAATATTATAAATTTATTATATGAAAATCTCGGAAAAAATACAACATTATTAAATTTAACATAAATTTATAGTAAGAATCTATTAATATATAATAAGGATTAACATAATTCATTTTAGAAACACTTTCCTGCCAATTTCATTAATTATTGCCTAAAAATAGTAAATTAACAAAATCTCTATTTATTAGAATATTTTTTTATCTAATTTTTTTAGGAATACAATAAAAAATATGGAATCAAAATCAAAATAAATCTAAGAGATACACTTACCATACTTAATACACTTAATTTAAGAAATACACTTACCATACGTATTTTTAAAATTTTTTAAAATACAATATAAAGTATTTAATTAATAATTATCAATTAAAGATTCTTTTTAAGAATCAATCATATTTCTAATAATTGTTTTTTTTTTCGAAACGATAATATATTTCTAATAATTGTTAGAAATAATATATATATATATATATATATTAGCATTTACGTGAAAGTAACATATATGTTACTTATATGTTAGAGCATCTCCAATGCTCTAATGTTGTTATAGAAATTTTTTTGACAAATGTCAAAAAAATTAGATAACTTGTGAATCATGTAGGACAAATGTTGAATTCACAACTATTAAATTAAAAAATCATCTTCAATGCACAATGTTGCCTAATTACAATATTATCCACTTGCCAAATAATTTAATTTTAATATGAATTAATAAAATTAATTAAATAATTAAATAGTTTAATGGTAATAATAATTATCTATCTACTCCTCATTGACTAACTGGAGTGTGGAGTAGAATGTGGATGAACCACATTATTCTCTATATTGTAGACATTAATTATGTCCACATCATCACAACATTTGTGATTACATTGTACATTGGAGGATGAAAAATTGTGATATTAATAAATGTGTTGATGTGAAATGTAATTTACCACTACAACATTGAGCATTGGAGATGCTCTTAACATATATGTTAATCTATACTTATATAAAAAAACATTCTATTTACTAGAATTAGTAGTAAGAAAAGTCAAATATAATTAATCATTATATTTCCATCAAGTATTTTATTTAATTATTTTAGTTAATTGTTTTATCCCATAACACATTTTCAATACAACTTACAATGATTTTTCTATTGTGATTAAAAACCAAATTTTACATTTAAAATCTTGTGAACTTATTGTTATTATTTTTATAAAGCACATATTATTAGTTAAAAAATTATATATATATATATATATATATATATATATATAATACACATCACAGTACCATGGTAGATGATTTAAATTTCAACCACTAGTGGAAAAAATACTTTTTACATCGGTTAAAAATCATATTAACATCGGTTAAAACCCCTTTTTAAAAACCGATGTTGAAACAGGCGATGTTAAAAGTCTGTCTTTTTTACATCGGTTTTGAACCGATGTAAAAAAAAAAAAAAAAACTGCTTACATCGGTTTTGCCCAACAACCGATGTTATAAGGGAAAACATGTCTCAAAAACGATTATATTAAAACACTTTTACATCGGTTCATTTAACAACCGATGTAAAGTAAGACATTTAACCGATGTAATAAAGACATGTAACATCGGTTATCAACATAACCGATGTCATATTACTCGAATTCACATCGGTTTTCAAAATAACCGATGTGAACTTTATAAAACCGATGTAAAATGTTTAAATCATTACATCGGTTTTTTACGTCAACTTTTAAAAACCGATATAAAATCAAGCATTTACAACGATTTTATTTAAATATACATCTTTTTACCTATAAATCAAAAAACCATTTACTACAAAATAATAACATTCATACATTCAAAATATTCCCACAATTCAGCACAAACCCACATCACAAGTACTAACAACCAAAATATTTCAACAACGCCAAGTTATAACAATAGTTTTCATATTCACTACACCAATAATAGTTATCAACCACAGTTACAAAGTTCAGAGTCCATAAAACGTAAGCAAACTGATAAGTCTATTTTCCTAATGAAGTAACCTCAAGAAAGTACTTCGTTCACCGCATCTTTATATTTTCAATGTCCTCGTCCGAATATGGCTCATCAATGTTGTAAGCCTACGTGATACAAACAAATATTATCACTATAACATGTATTGAATTGTGTTATTTCAAATACAACAAAAAGTTGATTTTAATAAAAAAAAACTTACCCCTTTCAACGAGTCGATAATGTCAAGTGATATAATCTCGAGCATATACCGCATAACAAAATATCCACATGCTTCATCTCCCAATTTTTTCGACACTTGTATGAAAAACATAAAAACATCATTTACACTATACAAACTAAATTGATGCATACAACCAAAAAGGAAATAATGTAACTCTCCAAAATCAAAACACATAACATCGTTCAATAAATTTACCTTAACCTTAAGTGGAACCCATTTAGGCTTCCCTGTTCTAAGGTTACGTTTTCCCATGAAGTATGTACGAAATGCACTGCAATATAATAAATATTCATATTACTTGAAAGACAAAATAAGCCAAAATGTAAAAGATAATATATTTGAAATACATTTAGCAAAGAAAAGTTAACTACAAAATTGATCTAATTTATCAATTTAAAAACATACCTGTTAATCTTGATTATCAACTCTGTGTTGGGATCTCTTCTCAATGAGCACAACCAAACCACTTTATTTAGTTGGGACAAAGTATCTACAACTGCCAATGTTCTCTGTGAATCCAGAAAATAAATGTATTTAATTGGTACACTTTTTAATTTGTATGTCTATATAATTATAATAAAAATAATAAAACAAAGATAAAGTGAATTTTATATGTTTTTATATTCTTATGTAATCACTGAGATAAGTTTTGAAACCCCTCCAAGCATCCCCAGCACGTGAAACATATTATTGACTTGATTTAATAAATTATTACTATTATAGTTTTTGAACTTATGAAATTGCATCTAATTGCAATGAGTAAAAAGTGATTAAATTACATTGATGTTTCCAGTATCTTATTTAAGATGCAAAAGGAGTTCCCACTTGTATCACTAAGACCTTCTTTACTTAATAATTTTACACCGAAAATCGTACCGTTAGAAGAATAAAACATGTGACCAAACACAAAACAAGAAAAACGACAACAAC